GTTGACTCAGCTGGTCTTACAACACTTTCTCCCTTTCTCCTGCCTGCACGGCCGACCTATCGCCACTTTTATCGGCGTCTCAACTCGGACTGCAGTTCTTCTCAGGGAGCTGGGAGGAGGTGGGTGCCCACACCTTCTCACACCAACCCCAGCAACCCCAAAGCTAAACCCTGACTCCTGACCAGGGATGGAAGGTGTCTGCAATCACCAGAAGGACACCCCACGCCGTGCTGGGGAAGACAGACGCTGCTGGGAATGGCCCATAGAGATTTACCAGCGAAAAAAAAAAAAAAAAAGTGAAAAGTGATATTATCTTAACGACAAAAAAATTCCCAACGACCCACTTCAGGAGTGATTCATATTTCACAGACCTCACGGGGTTTGGACTATTGACTTAATTAAGCCACAGTCATAAAAACCGCCCCCAACTTTTCCATCAGGATTTACCATATTATCAAAAATCTGCAGCAGGACTAAACTTTTGCATTTGCTTTTGCAGGAGCAAAGCCCGAGTCAGTCTTACCACAGCAAAGCACAGCCTACTCTATTCTCTGCATATAAATTAAAGGTACCAAAGAAAATTAATTAATGAGGTACATTCTGTGCTGAGATTTTATCTGATTAGGTTTCTAATCATATTTATTTCAGAAGCAATTAAAAACTCTAACTGATACGAAACAGGTCTCCTGGCTATTTCTGAAAGTGGGGAAGGTCTGGCTACAGTCAGCCATCAAAAACTGAGGGTGGGGACGAGAGAAGAAAAAGAGAGTTAAGTAAATGGGTGAATATTGCTTGTTTCTCCAACTTTCTGCCCGTTGTTAACAAAGGTAAACTTTTTCACAATTATCTTTGCCCTTTCAACGTCTCTCTAAGTAATAATCATAGGTTTAGGGCATGACACAGCTTTCTACCAGCAAAGTGCAGTGACACAAGAGGGTCGAGAATAGAAAGGGAGGAGGGGGGAAAGCGTGGGGAGCAGTCAGCTAAAATGGGAAAAACAGTTGTGGAAATTTGTCACAAAACCCCTGCATGAAAATATATTTAACCCCCTCTATACAATAAATCCCGCAACGATAACCGCATCCATGAAAAACCTTCCACTGTAACGGCATTTTTTCCTCAGTTTGCTCCTACAATGGTGGAATCTAAGAGAAATTCTCCAGGCCCTTAATTTGGGAATCACTTGAATTTGCAGGAGAAGACCTCTCCGAGAGCAACACCCTTCAGAGCTGGACCCCAGCACCGCCGAGCCAGGGCGGCAGCGAGCCCGGGGGAAGTTACGCTTAAAGAGCCAAGAATACCTTATCTCAAAGGATAAGGTGGAGCTTTACTTTTCCCCTCTTGCAAAATTGGCGATTAAGTAATCTGTTTATGTCACACATACCAGCCCTCCTGGCAGGGGCATTACAGCAACATCTCATTACCTTCAAGGAAAGGAACGTGCCGTGCTCGAAATGAATGGGAAGGGTTTTCTCGCACGGTGGGTTCAGCTTAGGGCAGCGCCTCTTCCTCATTTCCTCACCCTCCCCTCCACCTCCCCTTAAAAAAAAAAGCCTACATTTTCACATTTCCCCACTTTTCTTCCACAGCCTGAACCCCCGACCCGGGATCCCTGCAGCTCTTCTTAACTGACCCGTAATGTCAATTAATCAATTAAGCCCTCTCATTGATAAAGACGGATAGGGGCTGAGCTGCGATGGAATAATTTTGGATGTTACCAGCTGGTATCTCTAATGAACCAGCAGCACATTCCAGCGGGGGAGCAGATGGAGGAGCCATCCCAGAGAAGCATCAAACACCCTCTGGAAGGGGCCAAGGGGACACGTTTTTGTCAGGTTCTGTGCGGTTTCTATTAATGTCACGTTTACTTTGCAAGGGCACGACCCACAGTTTGCCCCAAGCTGAGAACATCTCAACGTCCTTCTGACCAGAAATGCCCATTTTTTCCCCTCTCCTCCTTAAAATGCCAAGTCCTTCCCTCTCCCCCGCAACGCTACATAATCAAATTAGCGAGCGGCGTGGTTAATTCAGAGTTGCCATCTCCATCTCATCCCCGTAATTCCAGGTCATCCTCTACCAAGGAAATGACACGACGCTGTTTCTCTCTTTGTGCTAAAGTTATGATTCCCCCTTCCTCTCTGCTCAGGTTTGGGTTTGTTTTTTTCCCTATAATTTTGGTGAAATTAAGAGCCTTCCTGAGAAATGCGATCAAAACTGACTGCTAAGTGAAAAAAATTATTGGGAGAGGAATGGAAAGGTAAGAGAAGCAAACAACTTATGCTACGTACGTTAATTCCTCATGAAAGCAGGCCAAAAGTAAGAACTACCAGAAAAATGAAATACATCTGGAGGTGACAATTCCACTTGCTGTTACCTTCTCCTACAGAGGATGCAGGCACTGTAAGCCTTTTAGAAAAGCAAGTTATAATTATACCAGGAAAGTGGCTAAAGTGATGGAGAGCACTTCAGAGCCGACACCTCCAGGTCTCCAGACAAACACTCTCCTTGAAACCACTTCAGCTGCAGTGCAGAAACCCAGCAGAGAGACTTGAAAGTATCTGCACCAACTGTTGGCCAAAGGTCTTCAACCTGATGTTTTAGCCCTTTCCATCAGATATTAAACTGGAAGAGGGGAGATGGAGCTGAGATGTGGGGAGGAACTTGTTTGGTGTGAGGGTGGTGAGAGCCTGGCCCAGGTTGGCCAGAGAAGCTGTGGCTGCCCCATCCCTGGAGGGGTTGAAGGGCAGGTTGGAGGGGGCTTGGAGCAACCTGGGCTGGTGGGAGGTGTCCCTGCCCAGGGCAGGGGGGGGCACTGGGGGGGCTTCCAACCCAAACCATTCTGTGAGTCTGCAGCTCTACACATGCAGGCTATGACCGTACCTTGCACACATTAAATGCACTTATATACAGGACACATAGCTGTGTAAGCCTTAGATATGGGTTAGTGATGAGTTTGTCAGTGTTGGGTTGGTGGTTGGACTCGATGATCTGAAAGGTCCCTTCCAACCTCAGCAACTACAATTCTACTGAGCTGAGCACACACATCTTCCCCTCTATGGCAAATAAGACATCTCCAGAACACCAAAGCCTGTACTAATTACACGTGCTGTGAAAATGCCCCAGATTTGCCCAGTGCTCTATGAATTCAAGGTTGTCCCACTCCAGAAGAGTGGAGGAGCTGAGCAGTATCTCACCAACCCCACCATCCATGCACAGATGCTACAGCCTTGGCCCCACCACAGACGGCAGCTCCTTTTGGGATTTAGCTGGGTCATTTGGGGAATCCTGGTGAGAAATCACGGTGCTGCCTCCAGCACGAAGGAGGGACTGAGCCCGTCACGCAGCTCCAGATCTCCCCAGAGAGAGACAATGAGAAATTACTGTGTGCAATTAGAAATACTTCACCTCCTCACCCCAGCGAGATGCTCCGCCACCGCTCTGTTCGCCCAAATAAATCAAACCGAGGGTGACACACTAAATCACACATGGGGCAACACACACCACAACAGCACGTGGCCACGTTTCAGACTGGGAAATAAATGTTCTCCTTCTCTCCCCCCTCGCATCTTCCCGCTCTGCCAAAGTATCCCTTATTCCACCAGCAGAAGGCTCCTACAAAAGCCCCACCATCCCAACCCTGCAGACAGCAAACGGCCTCATTAAACCCAACAGGATGATTTACAGCTCCTGAGCACAGATTCCTTCAGACAAGGGTGGAAGAAAACGCAGCCTTTTCCACGGAAACGACTGGTTTGATATGCGGGAAATGCTCTAATCTATCTTTTTGGAGATTATTTTCTTTCATACTGCTCGGTCCTTCACCGTCCGTTACCAGCTGACATGGCTGTAACCCTACACTTTTCAAAAGATTTTAAACCCCAAAGCCACAGGCATTTATTTGCAAATAAAGAAATTAGAATCAAATTATCTACTTAAGTCAAGAGGGAAGGATAGCACCAGGAGGTGAAATTCTGGCCTCCTTTCCCTTCCAGGTAGAGTACGTACCCCACCACCCTTCCTCCTTCTCCCCCACTCGTTTATCAAGCACACAGTCAACTGCTCCTCATAAAAACAAGAAAAAGAGAATTTCCTGCAAATAATTCATTCCTATCAACTCAATAATTTTCCACCAACAACCTTAAACTGAACTCCTTCAAATTCCTTTTACCTTCGGGATTTCACAACATCTTTCGTTACAGAGAAAATGAAAACAGTTTCCAAGGAGCCTCCTCCTTTCCTGAAAAGTGGAGAAACTGTTTGCTCTGTTCAAAAGTTCCTCTTTGAGGGGAAAAGCCTCCTCTTTGTGCCTCCTAAGCTAAAAGGATAAAAGGACAACCCCTCGGTACCAATTCTGCTGCTTTTTCCAGTTCCCTTCTCCACCTGCCACCAAATTCCTGCACTTCCAAGTGCCAGCATTGCCAAAACTGTGCTCATAGGGGGAAAAAAAAAAACCAAAACCACCAATATTTCAGGGCCACTCTGCAAAACACAGCAAACAGGGTTTCACGGGAATGTGTGCCGGCAGCACGTAACGACATTCCCTCCTGAACCCAAAAAGAGGATTTCTTTAAAAAAAGTCAGTTTTGCCCCGCTCCAGCTCACCAAACACACAGAGCCACCGCTCAGAAGACTCACACAGAAGCTTTTCCCCAAAAGCTCCCCTTCTTCATTAAATTATTCAAGATTATTTACTCATTTTTGCTAAGGCAACAAAAGGGAACGTATATTGCACGGATGCTCTTGCCCGTTTGCAACGGTTGGGAAGGCGCACCCCGATTTTTATGATTTTATTTATTTTATTTTATTTTCCCCTCCCCAAGCAGCACAGTAGCTACTTGCTATAAACACAACCGAAAACATCTGGAACACCTGCTGTTTCAGGCAGTTTTAGGATTAATTACTAAGGTTATTAATAAAGGTGCCTGTGTGGCTGGGACACACAAATTGCCACGGCAGCCTTTTTTTTGTTTTCCTCCCCGCAGCAGCCCGAGGTCTCTTACCTTCCACCTCTTCTTCGTCGCACACATGCTTAAGGAAGGAAGCCCCTCTATCCAGGACGGCCTCGTCCTCCATCCTATAGTAATAGAAAAGAAAAAAGGAATGCTCAGACTTCTCCTGGAGCGAGGTGTTTGACCCAGCCCAGGTCCTGGGCAGGTTAACTTGCAGGCTGTTGGTCATGTTCCCTGGGGCTCTGCTGCTCTCCCTCCAGCGCCCGCCGTGCCTTCATAGAGCTCCTTCTCAAACGCCGTGGGGTTTAAGCTGGTCCAGTTCTAACCTTGAGAGGACATGGGCGGTGACAGGTGGGAGAAAGGTAATCCCAGCTACAAGTCTTTGGCCTTTCCTTGGTGGTTTTGCTTTTTGTTGTTTGGTTTTTTTCCCCGTTTCTCGCTTGTTTTGTTGCTTGGTGGGTTTTTTTTCCCCCTTCCACCTTTTTTCTTATTTTTTTTCCCCCCCAAAAAAGCCGTACGCAAGCACGCACGAAGAAGCAAATTTGGGGCCGTCTGTGCAACAGCCGAGTTTGTGGAATTCCAGTTTAATCCCTTTTTTAAGTTCTTCTGAAGGAGCCGGGCTGCAGAACGGCGCGCACAAGGGAGCCCACGTATTACACACTCACACACACAGACACACACGCGTGTGAGAATGCCCCCAGGGGGGGAAAACCAGCCTCTTAATACACTTGTGTCACATGCCAGCCCTGCAGAAAGCTGCCATACGGGGGATTATCCGCCACCCCGGCTGCAGCCAGCCAGGCCACCCCAGCCCTCACTTATGTGTGTCACCCATTCATTCATTCATCCCTTTGGGGACCTGCCGTCTTTTTTTCCCCTCCCTTTTTCTCTCCACTTCTTTATCTGCTTCTTTTCTACACACACACACTCCTAATTCTGCCCTCTCCATCACGGGATCCATGGGAAGGGGGTGCCACTGCCTTTCACCCCCAAAATAAGTCCCTCTGGGCTTTCCCAGGGCTCATCCGCAAAGGCATTTTTGACAAGCAAATGCTAAAATAACAAAATGAATTAAAACAAAAAAATCTAGCTGTGTTAAATAATCTCCTTTCCTGTCACTTAGAGGCTAAGCACACATTTGCTGCTCGCTGGGGAAGCTTTTTATCTTCATACAACCGGGGACCGAGCTGGGAACCTTTTTTTTTTATCAATGGTGAGAAACAGGCATTATGTGGGTAACAATTAAAAAAATAAAACGTCGTTTTTCCTTATATTCCCTAGAGGGAATTAGGGACAAACTCGGTACAAAAGGAGACAAAGCCTTCCAAGCTCCTTCACGTCCCTCTCGCTTCCACTCGTGACCCTGCAAGATCCTCCAAGTGCATTGGCAGCAAAAATACAGGTTGTTTTTGGTTTTTTTTAAGGGCACATTCAAATTCTGGAGAGTGTAAAAACCTGAGTGGGTGAACATCAAGGAATTACAATGCCTTAGGGTACCTACCGTGCATGTCAATGCCCACCTGAACCAAAAACATAAAAAAAACAAAGAAAAAAACCCCAAAAACCCCACTTCAGCCACAAAATAAAGGACCAAAGTCCTTGTTTTCTGAAAGTAGTAGCCCATCTCCCATCCTCACCAAGTTTTCCTCCACCTCAACCCCCTTCACTAAGACACCACTGGCCTCATCCTTGGTCTTATTCCACAGCTCAGCTCCCACCAACAAGTCTCAAACACATCACAGAGAAAAAAAGGACTAAACTCCTGATTTTGGAAAAGTCCCCTCTCCCAGGCAGCCCCTACCCTGGGGCAGAAGGGGCTGGACCAGCTTTTTGCCACCAAAACACACAGAACCACCACTCAGGAGCTCACACAGAAGCTTTTCCCCAAAGCTCCCCTTTGGACCAGCTTTTTGCCACCAAAACACACAGAGCCACCACTCAGGAGCCTCACACGGCAGCTTTTCCCCAAAGCTCCCCTTCTTCATTAAATTATTCAAGATTATTTACTCATTTTTGCTAAGGCAACAAAAGGGAACGTATATTGAAGGCGCACCCCGATTTCTATGATTTTATTTTCTTTTCTTTTCCCCTCCCCAAGCAGCACAGTAGCTCCTTGCTATAAACACAACCGAAAACATCTGGAACAGATGGGCCTGGATTTCCAGACACAAACCCAAACCGCACGCGCTTTATTACTCTGTAAAGTCTCTCCTTACGGCACCAAGGGGCCCCCACCGCCCCCCACCACGTCCTATTCCTACACTCAAAGGAAATAAAAAAGGAATTGCTTCCCCAGCTCCCTTCCACCGAGGGAAATCTCTGCTCCAAGGGACCCCCACGCTTCCCCCCAACCCTCCCACATTTATTTTTTTCCCCCTCCTTGGATCTGTTTATTATTAAACAGGTTTTTTTTGCCGCAGAGGGTTGGAAAACTGCTTTTGCAGATACTTTCCTCCGAAGGAGCTGGTGGGGGGGTTTAAAGGGCCAGGAATAGAGCCTTGGCACCGTGCCCCGACTCTAATCCACGGGAGCTGAGGGATTAGACTCCCCAGCGCCACCTCCCCTGACTTGGTCTTTTCTGCCCTTCTCGGATAACCCCAGGATTTCTTCAGGGCAAGAATAATAAAAAAACCCACAAAAAACCAGAAAGAAAACATCCTCGATGAATTTTCACAGGGGGAACTGTTCCAGCCCCCTGGAATTTTTCAAATAACACGAAGGGGGAATTGCAGAAATCAAAAAAGAAACCAACAAAAATTAAAATAAAATAAATTGATAGAAAAAAAATCACATGAAACAACAAGAAAATCTTCACTTGTGTTTTGGGGGGAAAACTGGCCCTATAAGTGAAGCGCTGCAGCAAGGAAAGGAATTTTCACCACCCCATGGAGGAGATGGGTAGAAGGACACTGGACAGAAGAAAGGGTAGAAATGTGTTTAGGGCCTCTAAACAGAAATGTACCTTGTTTTAAGGTTTGTTTACCAGCTCCTTGCATTCAGGTAAAAAGCACGGGACATCTGGACACTTTTTATATAAATCCATATCCCCATTAATGCTCCTGCAAAGTTCTGGAAAACAAACTTTAAAAATTAATTAAAAAAATATTGGGTGTCTATTTTCAGAGCCTAGATCTGACAGAATATACTCAAAGTGGGAAAAAAAAAAATAAAAATATGAGTATGAGCTCTTTGAGTAATTGGCCTCTCCGGGCAGATAATGAGGTCGGTACCAAAGGTGTTTTTAGAAGTGACATTTATGTGTCGATAGGGTTTTAACAAGAGTCACACGTTGCCCACGACACAGCGTGGGGCTCCAGGACTCCACTTGCAGAGCACGGGCAGACACGGCTCCCAGCCATCCCCTGGGAACCCCAGACTCCCCAGAACAAAACCAATTTAATGCTAACAGGGATCCCGGGCTTCATAACGGACAGAAAAGGGAGTTTAAAATGGGAGAAAGTGAAGGAAATCAAACAGCACAAAGCCGAAAAGAAGGGGGAAAGTCTCTTCCCCAGCCAGCAGAGCCCACCCTGAGGAGGGAGCGAGTCCATGTGCCTCAACTCTGGGGAATTTGGGAGATAAAGAGCATTTCTGAGCGGCCAGAGGTAGCACAGCAAACCTCATTTGGGTTCTACGGGAGCTGTGGCTCCAGACCAAATCACTTAGAATCATGGAATAGTTTGGGTTGGAAGGGACCTTAAAGCTCACCCAGTGCCACCCCCTGCCCTGGGCAGGGACACCTCCCACCACACCAGGTTGCTCCAAGCCCCCTCCAACCTGGCCTTCAACCCCTCCAGGGATGGGGCAGCCACAGCTTCTCTGGCCAACCTGGGCCAGGCTCTCACCACCCTCACACCAAACAAGTTCTGCCCCACAGCTCAGCTCCATCTCCCCTCTTGCAGGGTCAAACCCTTCCCCCTCCTCCTAGGGCTCCCCTCCCTCATCCAGAGTCCCTCCCCATCTCTCCTGGAGCCCCCCTTCTTTAGGGACTGGAAGGGGCTCCAAGGTCTCCCCGGAGCCTTCTCTTCTCCAGGCTGAACCCCCCAACTCTCTCAGCCTGTCCTCACAGCAGAGGGGCTCCAGCCCTCCCAGCATCTCCATGGCCTCCTCTTGCCCCACTCCAACAGCTCCATGTCCTTCCTGTGCTGAGGACTCCAGAGCTGGACACAGTGCTCCAGGTGGGGTCTCACCAGAGCACGGCAGAATCATTATCTGTGATAAGCTGAAAAAAACCACCCAATTACAGCAAACTCCTCATCTCCCTCCCCTTGGCCACACTTTTCTGACAGTCTCCATTTTGCTCATCCCGTTATCAGTTCTTCCCAAGCATCTCCTTGGTAGAGCACCGAGCAACACCTCTTCAAAGAGGTCTAAAGCAGCATGGTCACCTCGGCTTCCCTGTCCCCTGTCTCCAAAGCCAGTCCCCTCCATCCTTCCTGATGGACAGAGCGCTGCCACCGCTTGGCCACCACGACCTGTAGGACACCGGCCACCCAGGCCAGCGCTTTTACAACGCCGTGATTTATGGGGGAAAAAGAGGGAAACCCAAAATTTGGAGTAAATAAAGGTGAGGGGCTGGTGTGGCATACACCTCGCTCCGGGGAACCGACCCGGGACGCAGCTGGGGAGCAAGAAACCAGAGTTACGACTCGCTGATAAGCTTTTACGATCCCGCCCATTTCAAACCTCTTTTGCAATCAGGAAGAGATTCCAGCAAACTCTGGACTGAATAATTTAAAAAAAAACACAAGCAAAACAAAACCAACAAAAACCCCACAACCCCCCGAAGCCAGCTGTAACCGAACCGGAGAGTGTGAGGCAGAGTCCATGTGAAAGTCACGTTTAAAGAGCAATAACCCCGGGGCACTGAGGGTGTCAACAGCTCCGGGAAGGAGAGAGGGTTGTGAAAGTTGGGTTCCAGAGCAGCATCGCCCAACAGCCGTGGGTTGGACCTGCCAACCACAGCATGTCCATCCCACCACACAGTCCCCGGCTCCTGCGGGTGGGCAGGACACAAAGGAAGTAAGGTCTTCCTGAGCATGTGGAATCCACCACCCTCGTCTTCTTCTCAGAGCCCGGCATCATTTACCCAGCAGGACTTTTGCCCCAGAAAACAGAATCACAG